ACCTGGTGCTCCCCAGGTGAGCCTGAGCCACATCCTGGTGCTCCCCAGGTGAGCCTGAGCACTCAGCGCTTGGACATAAATATCCAAGAGTTCATAAGCCAGGAGTATCACACTAAATGGATTTATTGGTGTTTTAATACTGGAAGATGTTTTTTCTCTTTCTCACACTTTTAAGTTTAAGCAGCAATCTTAGTACAATTCTCTCAGTGGACTTCACTGGTTTCACAATGTGAATTGTTTTGATCCTTGTTGGAATAGCACTGCCAATGTTTAAGGAGAGAAGGCACAGGTGCCCCACTGAGCACCTCCCAGCTCCCACTGCCCTCTGCACCTGAGCCGGCGTGTGGGGGAAGGCAGGGGATGCCCTTCCCACACCCACTTCTGTGCAGTCCAGTGGGAGGTCACTGGAGGAACCCACAGGTGCCCCTGCTGCCACTCAGGAGGGCACTGACTTCTGGGAACCAGGTGGCATGGGGAGGGACTTACACGGTGTTTTACAGTCCTCCTCTGCACACAGGAAGGGGACATGATTTTGCCCTGAGAAAGTTTCACCTGCACTGACAGGAACGTCACTCTCAGGACAGGAGTATCTGATCCTCCCTGAGGGCACTGTACCAGCTTAGTTCCATTCTCTTCAGAGCATGTTTGATGGCCTCTGTCACCATCCCAGAGGGTCCACCACGGCAGGAACCAGGCTCCCTTGCTCACGGCTGTGTCCTAGCCCCAAACGCTTCTTGGGACACAATAGACTCTCAATTAGTGCTCCTTGCCTGAGTGAAAGGGAGGATTTGTTATCTGGGTTTCATGTATGAAGCAGAACAAAGGTAGGGGCCTTGGTCGCTGAGGAAGAGCTTTTGAGTGACAACATGCTAGAGGTCAAGGGTCATCTGCCAGGACACTCACGTCATCTCTCTGGCCTTAGAGTGGAGACTGTGGTGCTCGATTTGATCTCTGTGCAGGTGGTCCTGTCATTACCAGAGTCAACTTGTAAACAAGAGCTCACCGTGCCCTGGTCTCACCAAAGGTGCAGAAATGGGGCTCTGAGTGTTCTCTGCTTTGCTAGGTTATAAATTGGGGTGTCTGAATCCAAACCCTACTTAGGTCTCAGGCTTCTCAAATGCTCTCCCCAGCCCTTCCCCATGACTTGGCGGGAGCCTTGGCCAGCTGTGGTCCGTTTGACATGGGTGCACGCCCTCACTGATGCCCCTGGGTGTTGATCTGTGTGGTCATGCGTGGCCTGTGCTGCCTCCTCAGTCCTTACTTTGAGCCGTTACTACACTTTTCTTTTTGTCTGTCTGCTTGTGGGCTCTGGGCTCTTGGCTGCATCTAGTGAATGTCTCTCCTGGCCAGTCTTTGATGGTCCTGGAAGATCCTATAGTGGCCCTCAGTCCGTGGTGGCTGCTTTTGGTTTTATTTTAAAGTCTACTTGTCCACGACTTTGATGTGCAATCCTCCATTTGAATTAGCGACTACATTTCAAATTGTTCTGGTAATACCTGGCCATATCACTTTTCTGTAAGTGAGATAATTGCCATGGCAACAATAAATGTCAATTTATTCAGTAAAATAAAAATAGACTGTGCACGGGGATTCTTCACATAACTTGACATTAGTAGACATGGAACTACTTCAGGAAAGAACCACTGACATAATTTTGCCTTGCTTCTTGAGCTGTGTCTCTGCAGAGAATTGGTAGCCTCTTTGCTCCAAGACAGTGGGCTCAGACGCCCCCTGTGGACAGCTTACATAGGCTTTAGGGCCATGACTTAACCCAGAAACACCAGATATGTGTTCCTGTGTCATTTCCACATGGCCCTTGACATCGGACCACAGGGGTTATCAGCTCAGTCCCAGGTGATGGGCATGCGTCCTCATGTGGGAGTGACCGTCCAGAAGGCAATTGGAAGATCTGGAGACTGTATCTAGTGAGGCTGAGAGAACTCGGGTTAGAAGTGTGACTCTTCCGCAGGTTCCCAGTTTGGGGGAACCGCTTTGGCAACCCTGAGAAGCACCTCAGTCACCTCTCACCGGGGCGCTTTGGCTGAGAGCTCTGCCCCCTGCACCCTCTGGCACCAGGCTCACTGTGGATCTCTTCCTTCAGCTCCTTGCGGGTATAACGTGACATCCGAGAACGGCACCATCTACTCCCCTGGCTTTCCGGACGAGTACCCGATTCTGAAGGACTGCATCTGGCTGATCGCGGTCCCTCCGGGGCACGGGGTGTACATCAACTTCACCCTGCTGCAGACGGAAGCTGTGAACGACTACATTGCTGTCTGGTAGGTGCACAGCCTGGCAAAGCCTGTGGCCACCCAGGACCTGTCCACCCCACCTTCACACCTCCTGTGGAGCAGACTACAGTTCCCAGTGAGCGGGTAGATAGGTGTAGAAAAGAGGCTCACCAGCAAAGTCCAGAGGTGGAGAGGGTGGATTTCAAGGTGGACCTTTACGTCTGGCTACATGGTGGAGATGTCCAGGATTATTTTCAATATATGAGAATATTTGAAACATTTTTTTAAAAAATATTTTTATTGGTGCATTAAAATTGTTCTTATTAGTGGGATTCACTGTTACATATTCATACATGTACACAGAAAATTTGGTCACTTTCATTCCCAGTAAAATTATTCTATTTTAAGTTTTTTGTTTGTTCTTTCTTTTGGTATGGGGATTGAACACAGGGCACTTAGCTCTGAGCCACTTCCTTAGCCCTTTCTTGTATTTTATTTAGAGACACTCTCATGAGTTGCTTAGCGCCTCACGAAGTTGTTCAAGCTGGCTTTGAACTCACGATCCTCCTCCCTCAGCCTCTGGAGCCGCTGGGATTACAGGAGCGCGCCACCACACCTGGCTTCTGTTTTACATTTTTAAATGTTATTTTTTTTTTTCCTAAAAGAAAAGGTGTGGGATCCTTTGCTGTTGTTGGATGTTTCTAGAAATATTGAGGACACGGTTACTCAGGGACCAGTTGCTACTTGGCCCAACCAGCCCTGATACTGCTGTGGAGCTGGCTTTCCTGGGGCTGTGGGGTGATCCTGAGCGGGTGGGGTGAGGCTGGCTCTGTCTGTGCAGGACTGAGGCCTGGGGAAGGGCTCCCCGACCCTGGAGTTCTGAGGTGAGAGTGCAGAAGGGACTGGGGTCGACTGTGGCCCTGCGATACCACGGTGGGAGGGAGAGGCCCTCTAGGGGAGGGTTGTGTGGCTGGAATGAACTGCATGGAGACTAAAGGAACTGCAGTAGTGTGTGTGCGTGTGTGTGTCTGTGTGTGCATGTGTGTGTGCGCGTGTGCAACGGGGCCAACCTCTGCGTGCAACGTGGCTGACCTCTCCTTAGAGCCCACAGGGAGGGCAGGAGGTGGCTACAGCAGGGCAGGTGCCAGGGCCTGGCTGACTCATGATGCAGATGTAGGCTTTATTCTAGGGGCACTAAGATGGCCTCGGGGTGCCCAAGCAGGAGGGATTGGAAGCCGGGTTTTGGTTGCAAATAGCTGGTCTTATTTGGGCATGCATAGATGCAGAGGGCGGGGAGAGAGAGGATGGCTTTGGGTCAGTCCTGAGGGGGTGAGAAGGGGGACCCCATGGCCCTGAGAACGAGGAGCAGATCCTGGGGCGAACACGGAGATGTCACAGTGCAGCTCCACATAGAGGATGCTATCGGAAGGCAGAAAGGTCTGGACACTGAGGATGTCCAGTGCCCACGCCCGGGCTGACATCACCTCGAGAGGGACTGCAGAGTCAACTGTGGATATCAGACACTAAACCCAGTCCAGAGGATGGTTATGTTTTATTGTTTTACAGAATGCTTCGATTCTGTTGTAAAAGTCTCCATGGATCTCCCTCCTGATTAGAGACTCCAGTGCATTTAGACTCTGGGCGAGGGACTTGGATAGGAAGCTGGAGAGTGGCCTTGTAGGCACTGAGGTGCCAGCCCACAGAGGAGGGGCACTGTCTGCTCCTGCAGGCGGGAGCTCTGGGGCCAGGACAGCGTGCTCTTCAGCCAAGGGCGCCCTTGTTCCAAAGGCTCTGTCTGTGTTCCTAGGGACGGTCCTGACCAGAATGCACCGCAGCTGGGCGTCTTCAGCGGGAACACAGCCCTGGAAACTGCTCACAGCTCCACCAGCCAAGTCCTGCTCAAGTTCCACAGCGACTTTTCAAACGGAGGCTTCTTTGTCCTCAATTTCCACGGTCAGTTCCCTTCCCTCCCTCTGAGGAGGACAGAGAGTTCGGGAGCTGTCTCCCCTGGGACTGACCCCACTCTGCGCCAGCTCCAGCGCCTCAGGGCTGCCATTGAGTATGGCGCTGCGTTGGGGCCGGAGTTTCCTGGGGCCCTTCATGGTTTGGGGACGTCTTTGTGATGGCTTCTCCTGTTGCCACGTTATGGCGGTCACTCCTTCATGTGGTGCTGTGCTGTGTCACAGCAGGCTTGGACTCATTCCAAAAAGAAGAAGCCGCCGCTCTGTGCAGAACGCAAGGAGGTGCAGGGAAGCAGTCACCCTGTGGTCCTGCTGGCGGTAACCTTGGTGTCCCTGGACCTCATCTGTCACTTGGGGTGCAGGGATCACACGCCCCTGGGGGATGGGAATTAGTAGGCGGCGATGTGTACCTGTGGTGCTGCAGTGTGCGCGTGGTAGCTTTGGGAGGAAGAGTTTTGTAATATTTTTGCTTATTCAGTAAATGCAGCTGTCTTTGTTATTCTGTTTTCTTGGACCCTCAGCGTTTCAGCTGAAGAAGTGCCCACCCCCACCGGCAGTCCCGCAGGCAGACATGCTCACTGAGGACGAGGACTTTGAAATAGGTAACATGTCCTTCATCATAGCACCCAGACACCTGGCCTTTCACCCCTGCCTCTGCCTGCAGTCCCTGTGCAGATGGGCCAGCTGGTTAGGAATAAAGGTATCCTCTAGCCTGCTGGAGCCTGTGCAGAGATCAAGACAAAATGCCGCCTTTCTCCAATACCAGAATCGTCACTCCCTCTGCCATTTGACTTTCACTCTTGTCATCTGGAGCCTTTCCTCACCTAAGGCATTTACCACTTGGTCTGCTTCTCACCACGTTCAGAGACAGACTTGGGCAGGTCTCGGTGTCTCATGAGGGAGATGCCCACACCCTTCAGGAAAGAGGACCTGATCATTTGTGGCTTAAAGAATGGTGACTGCAAGGTCGCCCTTTCCTCAGGCCGGGGTGTGACTGCCAGGGCATGTTGATGGTGACATTCTGGGTCTGGCTTTGTCACTTCCATCAGTGGTCTCCTTCATGCAGTGGTCATGTGAAGGAAGAAGCCACAGCACAGGTTTGCCACGTAGTCATGTGACCCAGGGTTTTTTAGTCCCAATTAGAAGCGTCTCAACCCATCTGCATGCCACGTCGAAGGCCTGGCCACGCTGTGTGACTAGCAGCTCTACTTCACCCTTCACAGCTCGGTTGGTGGGAACCTTGGCTCCTGAGGCCAAGGTCACAGAGCAGCCCTGTTGGGGTGCAGAGCCCCCATCACCCTCCCTGCTGCCCTGCCCCAACCTGGGCACCCTCACACTATTTGGATAGAGGTTGGGGAAGGGAACAAACAGACGTGTCCATGAAGGAAGAAGACACCCACATCATTTCTGGGGCAGCACAGGCTGAGTTTAGGGTGGCATTTTATGAACCAAGAGCCAAGAACGGGACCTTCTGGATAGACGGGAAGCAGACCCTGCTCTGGGGTGGCTCCTCCGTGGCTGGGCAGCTCAGTGGGCTGCTGTGCATGTTGCTGCACCCTCTCTGAGTACCCTGGAAGCACAGTTCTGTCGTGTTGTCTCGACTCTTTCAGGAGGTTTCGTGCGGTACCAGTGCCACCCTGGCTACACCTTGTCGGGCAGTGACATGCTGACCTGCAAGCTCGGCTCCCAGCTGCAGTTTGAAGGCTCCCTCCCAACCTGTGAAGGTAAGCCCGAGCCGCCCGGTGCAGAGCGCTGGTCTCCCCCTGCCTGGGTGGGCGTGGTCCCTGTGCTGTGAGCCCACAGTGGGAAACAGCTCCAATGGGAACATCAGAGCCCTTTCTCCTTTAGCTGGCCCTGGAAAACAATCCGCGCCCCACAGAGAAGCCTTGTGTCTCCCCACAGTTCATGAAAACGCTCAAACCCAGGGAAACCTTGAAATGGTTTTAAAACAAACACCTGAACCCTGTGGGGAGGCCCTGCGGACGTTCGCAGCATTTCCTGTATCACAGCTTTCTATGCTTCCTTTCCATCTGCTAATCTACCTCTATCTTTTTGTGCATTTCAAGGCAGAATTTGTGTATCATGGAAATTCCCTGTCAACACGTCAGCATGAATATGATTAGCTGGTATTTAATATTTGGGGTATAAAATGTATAAATAAATGAAAAGTAGACATTTCCTGTTTTACACATTCCCTTTAATAGAACACATGCAAGAACTTAGATAATCCATAATAACAGAAGAAGATTTGAGACTTGCATCCACAGATCCATTGACTAGAATAGCATTAGATCAATTTAAAACAGCTTCGAAGGGCACCACTTTCAAATTCCTTTGGAAGAAAAGGCTTGACAACTACAAATAATCTTCAGTGGCCCAAATAAAATCAGCAGTGCCACCAGTTCACCTTCAAAAGCTGCCAATTTAAATTTTAAAAGATGCCCCAATGCAAATGCTGGGCCACTGAACAGCAGACTCCCCCTCTCCAAGAGTCGGAATATGCTAGTCCCAGGGGAGGGTGCAGCCGCTGAATGGACTTTAAATTTGGAAAGAGAAGACCCCGTCCAGGTCCAGTGACTGGGGCAAGTCGCTAGTCCCCATCCATCATGAAGAGGGAAGATGGTTCATCGCCTTACTTAGGAAAGGAAGGAGAAATGGAGTGTGGCTGTGAGTGCTGTGTGCTGTGACTGCGACCCGGCATGAGGCAGGTGGTTCTGCAGGGTCAAGTGTGGGTTTTGAGGTGACTTTGTGAGCACTCACAGCTGGAGCAGGTCCCCTCTGACATCTGGTGACTGTGCATCCTCACTACATCAGATGGCGGCATCCCAGTCACCTTGAGAAGGGAGAATTCCCAACATCTGAAACAGCAGCATTCTGATTGGACTCGAGCACTGCTGCGCACTCACGATGCCTATGTTATTTAGAAATCAGCTTTGAGGTTGCATCTGCAGGAATGCCACACCATAAGAGCAGCTTCCTTTGAGAAGTCGCTGAAACTGGGCCTCCTGTCCCCTATCCAGAAGTCAGGGGTCACACTGGTGAAGCACACCAGAGCCACTTTCTCGGAAAAGATCAGTGTTCACTTCACCAAGGCAACAATGATCTGCTTTTGAATTTTCTTTCCAAAACGGAGGATATATATTGTGCAGCTTTCGCCATTTCACAGAATTTTTTAACAGAAAAATAATCACAAGGGCATCTTCTTTTATTTATTTATTTGTCTTTTTCCATATTTTTACAGTTGTACACAATGGTGGGTTTTGTTGCTGCACTTTGTGCTTGTGTACAATATGACTATATGGTTTGGCCAATGTCATTCCTTGGTCATTTTTTATAAAATTAACAGAGGCAAGTCTTTACATTTTTAAGGTACATTTTCACCTCGCCAAATGTAGGCTCAAGTTTCTCAAAAGGGACGACTTCAAGCAAGGAGCTCCCAGTGGACATTTGCAGAAAGGCAAATTCGCATACTAACATGCCCATCCCCACACAAGGTACCTACTACCTTTACTGCACGTGCAGAGTAACCTAGTTTGTGCTCAGTGGAGCAGACCAAGGCAACCCAGATGGCTCTCCACGTGACGGGGCTCCCCGGCGTTCCACGGGCTGCAGACTCACCCTGCGCAGGCTGCACACCCCACGCCCTGCCCAAGTAGCAGCACAGGCTCAGGACAGCCCAGGACTCTGCTCTTGGAACTCAGGAGCAAACTCTTTAATGGAACTGAAAGCATCTTAGTTGTTCTTCATTCAACCCCTCATTATCCAGAAACAGGAAATAGGAGCTCAGATGTCTTTCACCCAATCCTTAATCTCTTAAGCACCTAATTACACTTTTTCTTTAAGTACTTCCTATTATTTGACTGACTTGATTGAGCTCAAGTGACGTCAATCCCAAGGTAAATTCTCAGGGAGACAATGTATTCACTCTTAATCCCACTTCCTCTATGTCCGGACTCAGTTTTAGAAGTTGAGCTTTGAAAGCCATGAACAATTTGGGGGAGACATGGGGAAGACTGTAGTGTGTTCTTTGGAAGATAATATCACAGGCAGATAAATAGGACCATGTTAGATACCTACTCTAAACAATGAGGAGAAGTATGCCAGAAGGGAAGAGAATCAGAAAGGCTGGCAGACTAGGGCAGCTGGCCTCCCGGAAGGTGGGCCTGGATCCTTGCAGTTTGCTCTTAGGGTGAAACCTGACCAGGGCCCTAGTTGAAAAGGTCCTGGTTGCATCTGCATGGAGCCAGCAGGTTCAGGAATGCCACACCATAAGAGCAGCTTCCTTTGAGAAGTCGCTGAAACTGGGCCTCCTGTCCCCTATCCAGGAGTCAGGGGTCACACTGGTTAAGCACACCAGAGCCATTTTCTTGGAAAAGATCAGTGTTCACATCAGCAAGGCAACAATGATCTGCCTTTGAGTTTTCTTTCCAAGATGGAGGATATATATTGTGCAGCTTCATCCATGTCACCCTGGGCATCTACAGAGATTCCAAACAGGCATTTAAAGAAAATCAGAAACTTGCATATTCAATGAACACTGGAGAGAAGCAGTGGCCACCTGGTAATGCCCACTCTTCTGCAGAGCACTGAGGGAGGCCACATAAGAGCTGGCCAGTGCTGTGTCCTGGCTGTGGGTGGCCCCCGCCTGCTCCTCAAGGTCCCGGGCAGCAGCTCTTCCCACCTACCGAGGAGTCGTCTCAGCTCCACCATCCCTCGTGCCTGTGGGTGTTGTTGAGCCTCAGTCTTGCTGGGCAGGTGCGGCACGTCCGCAATCCCAGCTACTGCAGAGGCAGAGGCAGGAAGACTGCAAGTTTGAGGCCAGTCTGGAAATTTTTTTAAAAAAAAGAAGTGGGGGCCGGGGATATAGCTTGTAGGCGCAGGGTTTTCCTAGCATGCACGAGACACTGGGCACCATCCCTAGTATAAAAAAGAAAAAAGAAATCTTAATTACTAGAAATCCTGATGTGCGCTCCTAATCCGGAATCACTAGTCCTAATCCTGTGTGGCTTGGCTGGAGGCCGGGCTCGTAGGACGGATGCATTAAATAACATGCTTCATGTTCTGAAGTCCCACAGTCGATTTTTTTTTAAAACAATCTGGAGGAATCATGTGCGAGGGCTGGTGTCTCCAAGCCAGGCACAGGTCTCAGAGGCAAGCTGCTTTCCTGGGGTGGGATGTGCCCCACAGGGCCCTGTGGGGACACAGTGTGCCTTTAAGCCTGCGACTGCTGCAGGAGGAAGTGCCTCTGGAAGCTCCCCCCGGAAGGTGCTGCTCCTGGCAACAGCTCCTGTGGGGAGGAGAAGCCACAGGGGCCCCAGGAACAGACAGGCGGCAGCCGCTGGGCCCTCTGCAGGCACCCGCCCAGGCGTCTCTGGACCCAGACACAGGCTGAAGAAGTGGGGCCAAGTGTCGTGAAAACGTGATGTAAAGGGCTTGGTGGATTCTTCATTTCATCTTCTCTAAAAAGACCAAAGCAGCCTCTTAGAATGGAGAGAAGATGTCTGGGCTCAGAGCCGCGTGGCAGTCGGAGCCGCTGCCCTGCTTGCAAGCCCTGGTGTGCTCTCCCCTCCCGTGGGGGGTTTGGGCAACTCCCTGGAGAGTTTCCTGGGTCCCGAGGGTCTGGAGGCCAGGGCCCCTAGTAACTGTAGCTGCCATGAGGAGACACACAGGGTGCCAGGGCAACACCAGGGTGCAACGGCCCCCAGCACCTTCACCTGGGAGGAGGCCGGCAGGCGTGCAGTGGACCCTCCTCCTGTCCCTATGACGTTCTGTCCACTCTGCCAGGGAAGCTCTGGCTCCGGCTGCAGACTCCAGGAAGGCTGTGCGCCTCCAGACCCAGGTTGGCCTGCGCGGGTTCTCAGACACAGCCCTGACTCCCTGGGCCTCTCCTGGAGAAGCAGCACCTGGGTGGGGCAGACACCATGTGTTCACAGATGCACCTTTACCACTGCTGTAGGAGGAAGTAGAATTTAAAATGTCTTTAAATTTTAAAATGTATTTATTAGGTATATATGACAGCAGCATGCATTTTGATTCCTTGTACACAACTGCAGCACCACTTTTCCTTTCTCTGATTGTACATGATGTAGCAGTCATAGAGGTACCTAGGGTAATGATGTCCATCTCATTCCACCATCTTTCCTGCCCCCATGCCCCCTCCTTGCCCTTCCCTCCACTTTGCCCAAAGTTCCTCCGTGTTCCCCATTCCCGCCTGCCCCCATGGATCAGCATCAGAGAGAACATTTGGCCTTTAGTTTTTTGGGATTGGCTTACTTCTCTTAGCTTGATATTCTCCAAGTCCATCCATTTACCTGCAAATGCCATGATTTTATTCTCTTTTAATGCTGAGTGATATTTCATTGTGTATATATACCACAGTTTCTTTATCCACTCATCTATTGAAGGGCATCTAAATTGCTTCCACTGTTAAGCTATTGTGAATTGTGCTGCTATAAACATTGATATAGCTGCATCACTATAGTATACTGTTTTTAAGTCCTTTGGGTATAGACCGAGGAGAGGGACAGCTGGGTCAAATGGTGGTTCCTTTCCCAATTTTCCAAAGAAACTCCATACTGCTTTCCATATTGGCTGCACCAGTTTGCAGTCCCACCAGCAATGTATGAGTGTGCCTTTTTCCCCACATCCTTACCAACACTTTTTTTTTTGTTTGTTTGTATTCTTAATAGCTACCATCCTGACTGGAGTGAGATGGTATCTTAGAGTAGTTTTGATTTGCATTTCTCTAATTACAAGAGATGTTGAACACTTTTTCATATATTTGTTGACCAAATGTGAATCTTCTTCTGAGAAGTGTCTGTTCAGCTCCTTAGCTCATTTATTGATTGGATTTTTTGTTGTTGTTGGTGGTGGTGGTGTTTTTTTTTTTTTTTTTTTTGGTGTTAAAGTTTTTGAGTTCTTTATATATCCTGGAGATTAGGGCTCTATCTGACATGTGTGTGTGGCAAAAATTTGCTCCCAAAATGTAAGCTCTCTATTCATCTCATTGATTGTTTCTTTTGCTGACAAGAAGCTTTTCAGTTTGAGTTCATTCCATTTATTAATTCTTAATTTTGCTTCTTGCACTTTAGGAGTCTTATTAGGGAAATCAGGGCCTAATCCAACATGACGAAGATTTGGGCCTACTTTTTCCTATATTAGGTTCAGGTCTCTGGACTAAATCCTAGGTCCTTGATCCACTTTGAGTTGAGTTTTGTGCATGGTGAGAGATAGGGGTTTAGTTTCATTTGGCTGCATGTGGATTTCTAGTTCTCCCAGTACCTTTTGTTAAAGAGGCTATCTTTTCTCCCCTATATGTTTTTACTGCCTTTGTCTAGTATGAGCTAACCGTATTTATGTGGGTTTTTCTCTGTGTCTTCTATTCTCTACCAACCATTGGTCTGTATGTCTATTTTGGTGCCAATACCATGCTGCTTTTGTTACTATAGCTTTGAAGTATAGCTTAAAGTCTGGTATAGCAATGCCTCCTGCTTCACTCTTCCTGCTAAGGATTGCTTTAGCTATTCTGAGTCTCTTATTTTTTCCAAATGAATTTCATGATGGCTTTTTCTATAAGAAAATAGAATTTGTAAGTGCATTGTTTTGGTTTGTGACTGATAGTCAGGATTATTTTTGATTATATTGTTACCTTTGATTCATCTTTGTGAACATTTAAAAAATCCTACCTATAACACTTACTTCTACAAAAGCTTCATCATTGGTGGTTTTGTCCCTCAACATTTTCTAAATTTGGAGGTAATTTCAATTAGAACACCAAGGTAGATGGAGGAACATAGGGAAGTGTGCCTCTTCACAGAGTTGCTTGAACAAGACATATTTCATAAACTCTGCTCATCTGTTTAAGGGTCTTATTGCGAAATGAATATATAAATAATACATATTTAGCTAATTAAAAGGGAATAACTCAATAAATCAGTTATATTTCTTCTGAAGCAAAAGCGCATTTTCTTGAGGAAAATTGATATTAAACTTTTCAAATATTCTGAGAATGGTTCCGGGGCAGCCAGCCATTATTAATAATAGAAATTATTTCCCCTTATTATTCTATAAGCACACTACTTTAGGAACATAATACAATTAAGCCATGAGAGGAGAGAGTAACTAAGGGAGCCTGCTGATTTTCTTTTGCACATTCATAGTTCATACCTGTACAGGTTGTTTATATTTTAATCAACCTGGAGGGAGTTGAACAAGAGAACTGGGAAGGAGGAGGAAGGTGCGTTGATATAGCCCCAGTATGTCAGTGATTTATTCACAACATCCCAGAAATTATGGCTCCTGCTGCCCACAAGAAACTGGGGTCCGAGGTGGGCCCCAGGCCAGGATGTCCAACTCATCCTGTTCCCAGGGTCCCAGGTGGTCACACCCAGTGTTTAAATTTCACTATTCTAAGTATATCAAAGACTGAAATAAATAAGATTTCTGTTTTTACAGTTTTCTCTTATATTTCTTTTGTTGTGTCACACTGTCCTCATTGGGGGAGGGGAGAGCTTTCTTTGTGGTTGTGATGGGAATATCTGAGGTCTTGTGATGAGATCCACAGGGAACCTGCCCAGACGCAGGGGGACGCAGCAGGCAGAGGCCTGCGCAGGCTGTGCGGTACTGGGCCGGGGTGCTGCTTGCTGTTCCAGGGGCTGCCTCGGTGGGCACCGCGTGAGCTTGGCCAGAGCTCTGGACGGTGCCTTTCCTTCTCCCTGTCCTGTGTGTGTGGGGAGAGAAACTGTCCTCTTGAAGCTGGGTCACTTTGTTAAAGCACAGCTTTGTGGGTACTTCTCTCTTCAGCACAGTGCCCAGCGAATGAAGTCCGGACAGAATCTTCTGGAGTGATCCTCAGCCCAGGGTACCCAGGCAACTACTTCAACTCCCAGACATGCTCCTGGAGCATTAAGGTGGAGCCCAACTTTAACATCACCATCTTTGTGGACACGTTCCAAAGTGAGAAGCAGTTTGATGCCCTGGAAGTATTTGATGGTAAGATTCCTCAGTCTTTGCACAGCAGCGATTCATTCGTTCACACACCTACCTAGTGGATCCTCCTCAGTTACATCACATTTTCCTTCCCCAAACTAATCAAACCACAGCGGCCACTCAGATTGTGAGTTCCAGCAACCTGGGGGCCTTAGTCTCCCCACGCTTTACTTTAATGTGGGGATTTACAGCAGGTAATCACAGGCAGCCTTTCCCAGGTGTTAATGATTCACTAGGTATGTTAGGAAAATTAACAAGTCTTGGGTATTTTAATAACTGGGAATGACAGTTTTACTAGAAATGCACAAAAACAGAGGTTCACAGAGACTTCCAGCTGGTAAAGCAAGAGTCTGTAATGTTTACAGTTTTTAAAAGAATAAAATAGTTAGCTAAACACATGCTAATACTATATTCAGCAAAAAAAAAAAACTTGTGATTTTTATACAATTCTAATGATCATTTAGCTTAATGGTGCACATGGTTGAATTGTCAAATTGAAATGAAGCCGCTGTTGATAATCCTCTTTGTGCAAATAGAAGAATCACCATGCCCAGGTGGTCGACCAGGATATGGTAATGTCTGAACATAATAATGGCTTTCTCATGTTTTGACAGATTGGTTATTGAGTTCAATTACACCACGATTCAGTGAGAAGAGTGCTCCGCTCTTGTGGTTTGTATGCATCTCACTGATTCGATGAGCCACCATAGTCAGTTGCTGGTGTGGATAGACCCACGTGAACCAGTTTGTGTGTTTCTGAAGACTAACCACTAAACTGGAAATCAAACTCCCATGTTATGTGTAGAAACAGGGGACCGGAGAGCACCAGGGGCCAGGAGGGTGTTTGTGTTTGTTTTGAGGTGTACATCCACACACGCACTTGAAGACTTTCCCCTCAGTCTGTAAGAGGAAGGCAATGTATGCAAGTGCAGAATTAGGGCTGGTTAGACCCAGGAGGGAGGCAGGTTGGTGTAATGCTGAGGCCCATCAGGTGTCCCAGGGGTGCACACAAGGGTCGCAGCTCCCTACTGCTGTGAGTCTACATGTGTACACACACAGGTTCCTATACATGCCACATGTCCTTAAACACAGGTACATATTATTGTCAATTTATACTTGCCCTTTTATTTCACATTAGTTGAATTGGAATGTAGCTGAAGGTACTTTTATGTGTTTTAATTTCAGAAGAAAAATTCTTATCAATAATTTAAGCTCTAATTACTTGCAATTTGATTTCCCAAAATACAGACACACCAAGCCCATCATAAACAATAAGCAAAGTAGACCATAGAGACGATGTCATAGCAGTTACTGTCAAAATTATCAAGGATCTATGACTGTATTGTTCTACTCTCAAAGATTTTTCTATAAAGTGAAATGTCAGAGTTTTATATGAATAACATTTTTTAAGCAATGGCATTTTTGCTGCAGTAAATGTCATGTACATCTCCTTTTAGGTTAGACAGAGACTCTTTTATTGTCTATGAGTGGACAGAAAACACGTTGAATATACTGATTTTAAATTTTATGAGCCCAGGAGTGACTCAGTTGTGAATGTCCCACAATTTTTAAAAATAGGATTTTAACCTTTGTAGAACTTGGTTGAGAAAAGTGTCAGAATGAAGATTGCAGGTGCCTGATGATTGCTTGCTGTGTCCATCCTGGATGAACACTTGCTCGTGTCCATCCTGGTGACCATAAATGACAGTGTCCCTTTGTTCTGGTGGCTGCTTCTGCACAGGCTAGTTGGGTGTGTGCTTTTAAAGAAGAGTCCTAGAAAGCCTGCTGCAGCCTAGGAAGAACACATGGGAAGTGGGGAGGGATTTGGTGTGGATTAACAGCTCCTGAAGCTCACCTTCTGCCACTGAAATGACATTTTAAAATTCCCTGTGTTCAGGTTAGTTAATTTCTGAATGGCATTTTATTTCAGAATGTTGTACACTACCTCCTTAAACAACCACCAGCCAGCCTGCATGCAGCAGGGCGCTCCGTCTTGTTCGGGTCTGAAGCACAGGCTTCCTCCCACGGTGTCTTCCAGGACGCCCCGATGGTCTCTGGCAGGAAGGAGTGTGCTATTGCTGAGCAGAGCCCTTCCTTGGCTGCTGGCACTAGTTCTGCATGTGCTTATTTGGGCCTTAGGAAGGTGCCACCGACCGGGTGTTGCAAACAACAGAAATTACCTCTCAGAGCCCTGGAGGCTGGAAGTGCCAGGTCAAGTGGGGAAGAGGCTGGTTTCTCTGAGGCCTCTCTCTGGCTTGCGGGCGGCATCTCTCTGTGAGTTCGTCTACCTGTTGTCTGGGTCCTTGTGAGGGCACCAGTCAGATTGGATCAGGGCCCACCCTGAGAACTCAGTTCCAATTACCTGTTTTTAAAGCCTGTACGTCGAGTGCAGTCACTTTCTGAGGTGCTGGGAACAGGACTTGAACACGTGATTGGGGTGAGCACCATTGAGCCCTGAAGAGAAATGGTCCAGCTGGGCCAGGTGCCGTGGCGCATGCCCATAATCCCAGCGGCTCAGGAGGCTGTGAGGCAGGAGGATCGTGGGTTCAAAGCCAGCCTCAGCAACTTATGGAGACCTTGAGCAACCTAGAAAACCCACAGTGAAGTTGTGACTTCTCATCACCTTCCTGCATGAATAAAGTCTCTGTGTGTGACTCTCGCAGCAGGTGTCCCTCAGCCTGTAGACACGGGCATCATAGATTGCAATGAGCGGGTTCTCCCATTCCATTGCGTGGTTCCTGAGTGAGCCAGGGGCGTGGAGAGAAGGCAGCAGAGCTTTGGGAGCTGGTGCTGGGGTCTCAGGCCCCCCGAGGAGAGTGTGGCTTCCATCTCCACAGGCACCTCTCCCATCAGAGCGCCCATCTCCCCGCTAAGCCCGATGCTAGCTGGCTCCGCCTTGCACTCGCTCTCCTTAACTGTGTACTTAAAATTAACTAACATTTCACGGATTTGGGGGGGCATTTTCAAATATATAAAAAGATGCAACTTTTTTATTTCTTGTATATCCATTCATCATCTATCATCTATCCATTATCTATCAGAATTTCTTTTGTTTGTACTGGGAATTGAGCCCAGGGGTACTCTACCACTGAGATACATCCTTAGTCCTTTTTTGACTTTTATTTTGAGGCAGGGTCTCACTAAATTGCTAAAGACCTTAATAAGTTGAGGCTGGCCTCGAACTTGCAATCCTCCTTCCTTAACCTCCAGAGTTGCTGGGATTGCCAGTGTGGGCCATCTATCTACCACCCACCTATTTCTCTATCTGGCTCCTTCTATCCGTCTTCCATCATCCACACACAGACACACACTCACACACCACACTAAACTCTATAGATTGTGTGATTTTGTACTTTTACACAGATGCAAAAAATATTTATCTGCAAGTGAATATTCTTAGACATAAATATACCATTCTTAGAATTACCTATGCTGATAACATGTACATCAACTTTATCAATTTTAGCTGCTGTATGATTTAATTTCTTTTTATGACATTTTCAATATCCTCTCTTAAAATTCTAAACTCTTAGTTGGGATCCAAGGATTATCATGAGAAGTGATGTTGGAATATACATTTGTGTTATATGAATAACTTGTGCACTTCTGCTAGATACATAGAAATAAAATTAAATCCCCAATCTCCCTGGATATTGCCAAATTGCTCCTCACAGTGATTGTTCTAGCTTAGCCCTCACTAGTGCTGCAGGAGGGTTTCCAGTTTCTCATATCCATACACACTGTACATACTAATACTAACAAAAATCAAAATCACTTCCAATTCTCCAGTTGCTACTGTCTCATCGACACCTTTCATTGAGGTACTGTGTCTTTATTAACATAAACATCTTTTTTCCTAGGTGGTCCTATTTTCATTAGGGAATTCTTACTGATGTTATTATTTGGGATTCTTATCTCACTTTGAAAATCAATAGCCACACGTTGTCCGCATAGACACCAGTTTAATCAAGGGCCTAAAGTAGCCTGTACTTGGTGGAATGTGCTACTCCACACCTCAGCTCTGTGTTCGTTCCCTCCAGGGCCGTCTGGGCAGAGCCCTCTGTTAGTGGTCTTGAGTGGGAACCATACAGAGCCAACAAATTTCACCAGCAGGAGCAACCAGTTGTACCTGCGCTGGTCCACCGACCACGCGACCAGCAAGAAGGGATTCCGGATTCGCTACACAGGTGGGTAAATGGCTCGGACTTGGTGATGAGTGTAGCAAAGTGATCTCCATTAAACTGAAAAACTGGACCGAGACTCCACTAATAATCTGATTTCTGACCGTTAATAATGAACTGCAAAAGAAAGCATGACGGGAAATTCCTCAAAGTGGTTTCTCCAAGCCACATGGGCAATTTGTTTAAAATTTATTATGAAAATGATTAGTCATTGAATTACATGTTGAAGGCAGCAAAGATATTTCTCAAAAGTTGAAATAGTATAATCGAAACTGACATTAGAATGTGTTTAAACATTCAGGGAACAAACAGGATGTTATTGCATTGCTATAAATTGTGAAATAATAATAATCTTTTACTAGTGAACATGTCATTTGACCTATGCATATTTGTCTTCACATATGATACACCCATGTGTGTGCTTGTGTGCCACACCCACATGTGTGTCTAAGAAGTGTTTCATGTAAGCCTTTCCTTAACAGTGTGAATTGTCTTGCCTGTCCTTTATATACTTTAATCATTCTGTCAGTAATTATGTGTATTTATTAAATTAATTGGTTAATCAATAAATAATCATATTGGCCAATACATTTAGGGAATATCAAATCCTGTGCACAATCCTTAATCTGATTTGACCACACCAGTGCTTGCACTGCCCTACAGAAGCAACTGGGAGAGTATCTAAATTCCTGAGGACACGGAAGTTACTAGGCACAAACATCTAGATCCTTCACGGTACCTCAGCCACCAGTGCCTGTGGTCACCTGTGAGATGCACCTGGAGAGCTGCTGGGCTGCTGTTAAGTGCCCAGTGTCCAGGCACAGGTCCCACTGTGGCAGCTCCCATCTCAGGGTGAGAATCCCCCACAGGGCACAGGAAGGAGGCTAGAAGGGAAGGGTCCTGGCTCCCTGGCTGGGGACCTCCTAATGCCTAAGGGGCAGCAAACCTGCAGCAGGCTCAACTGGCCTGGAGCTCAGGTGGTCTTCCTGGGAACGTGTAGTGAAATGCACACAAACTGTGGTTACAAAGTCTGGAGCAGTGGTTGCGTTTGCCTCCGTCAGAACCTTTGTCTGAAGAACAGAGGAATCATCAGGCTCTCAAGCCTTGAATACACGTCCTTTGTGCACAGATGGTCAGTGCAGGAATCACTGTGAATGGAATCGATCTTGTTCTAACAATGGTTTCCACCCTTAGGAGGGGATTTTCACTCATTGAACAAGAGGGTCCTCTTATCCCCTGCATTAGGAGAAGGTGGCTGTAAGGTTGCACTTCCAGCCCTTGGACCTGTGCCTGTTAGAGCCAAATGCATGTGAGGGGTGAAACACACGGAATGCACAGAGCTTTGCACTCCTTAGAGGTTCCAGGAACTCTGCTAAATGTTAGCCCCCAGTAATTTTCAAGAAGGGATTAAATTAAAGTGTCCCTGAAACATCTAGATGTGGTCTCAGGAGCCCCAGCCCTGTAATATGGCCATGTGACCATGCATCCTGTCCCCAGCCTGCATTTGCCTTACAGAGGTGAGCTGTCAGTCATTTGGCCACAAGCACAGTATGACTGATCACCTTGGTAGGAAACCAGGACGAAAGCCCCAGAGAGCCTGGTGGTAGAGGAAGAGTCACAGGAGGGCAGCCCCCAGAACACAGTTAGACCATCACTGCAAATCGCATCCTTGGCAGGCTGGGCGAAGCCCTCCACGCTGCTGACCCCCACAGCCTCATGTTTCCACGTCCCTTCAAGGTGTCCCACGTCCCTTCAAGGTGTCCCACTCTTCACTCATGTCTGACCTGGGAGCAGGCCTGCGGTCAAGGCAGTCTCCCTGTTTTCCTTCCCTTTTTCACCACCCGGTGACTCTGGAGGTCAGTGGTCAGAGTGCCCGGTGCTTCTCTGAACCAAAGACTCTGGTTCACCCAAAGTAAGAGCTCAGCCTAAACCAGCAGGAAACAGGAGCTGCATGGGTGGTGGAGCAGGGGGCGGAGGGTGCACAGGGGCCATGGAGGATTCCCACAGTGGCCAGCGGGTTTCCTCAACCAAACCAGGCTGTCGTAAAGACTTGAAATGTCCCACGGCAGACCCAGTTAGGAACAGTTGTCTGGGATGCCTCTTGTGGAAGCATGGCTGACCACCAGGGCCAGATGCTCACTGCGCTCCTGGGCAGGCTCTGATGGCCCTCTGACCATTTCTAAGGAAGGTTGTGAGGTGACGTTCAGACACCTGCAGGGATGCGGGCCTTTAAAACCTCTGCCTCCAAAGCAGCCGGGAGCCTCCAGCACACGTATTCCATGTTCCTGTCCTTAGTTATTCCTGGGTCCCTGGGGCCTGCTGCCCAGAACTCACCAGGGCCAGATGGCCACAGGTCTGAACCTGAACTCAGAACCAGGGACAAGCTCTTGACTCTAGATTTTGGGGATGCTTTTTAGAATCACTTCATGTATTGGTGTGCATTGCCCATTTTTAAAAAAACTGGAGATATTTCCTCTGTATCGCTCTGGCCAAGGGAGATGGTGCCGTCAGAGCTAGTGTGTGACTGACTTATCTGTGTTTGCATGCCCTCAGCCCCTTACTGCAGCCTGACCTCCACGCTGAAGAATGGCGGTGTTTTAAACAGGACCTCGGGAGCTGTTGGAAGCAAAGTGCATTACTTTTGCAAGCCTGGATATCGAATGGTTGGCCACAGCAATGCAACCTGCAGGCGTAACCCGGCTGGCATGTATCAGTGGGATGCCCTCATGCCCCTCTGCCAGGGTAAGGAACGTGCTTCCCTCCCCAACCTTGAGGTCTGTCCATGTTCTGTTTTAATCATGCTCTAAACGTGAGTGGAGCATTAGCTGGGCTACGAGGTGAGGAGACACTGAAGGTTGCCTTCTAGCAGCAAACATGCAGCTTGGCACTTGCCAGGCAGATGCCCGGTGCTCCAGGAGGCGTGGCTTAGCACAACAGCCTGAATTCAGAGAATGAACACTCTGGATTCTGAGCAGTTATTTAATCCTCACTTCATTGTGAAATAGAAGAATGTGTCGTCCCATTAAGATTCACAATAAATTTTCTTGACCACTGTATTAGTTAAAGTAGTCTATTACTGAAAACCCTTCTCCTTGTTTTAAGTTTAAATGCTCCTTGGAGTTGTCAGCTTTGTTTTTGATTCTCTTTGGGCCACTTAAATCTAGGGCTTGCTAACATTGATTTCAGTATTTCATGCTTCTTGGATTTTTTTTTTCATTTTGTCTATCATATGCATAAAAACCAAGTTTTCAAAGAATTTTACTTTTGATGGAAGGCTTTGAAGTAATGACATTTTCATAGCTTCTTCTTACAAGGTTCACATTCCTAATGAAATAGATTAGCCTTTGAGAGCTGGTCCTGGCCCATTCTGGGTTTTATGGGCTCCCTGGGTCTCTTCCACGTGAAATGGTGGAATTCCTGGCACTGCTCTGTGACGGTGACAGATGTGTATGGCTCCTGTATGTGCGACCCATGGAAAGTGACCAGATGCTTAGCTGTGTTATTTAGGATTTACATCCAGAAATTCTTTTTTAATATAATATAAGCATAAATCTAGACTCAGGACGTTTGTCTCATTAGGAAAATGATGCTTTTTTTTTTTTTTAAGAAAGCACTTTTTATTTTGGAAGAAGGTCCACTTCTTATCAGCTTTAAATATTTTATGACTCTCTGCCATGGAATCCATTGCTGAAAAGGTGGGTGCCTGGTGGTCTGTACCCTGTTGGCACTGGGAACAGAGTGCCAGGGGAAAAGTAATGACCCCAACAGCAGCATGGACTCCAAAGAGGGATTGTGGAAGACCCCCAGGATCAAGTCCTGCAGAGCTGTGGCAACCTGAGCCCAGATACGTGTGCTCAGGGTGGAGCCCAGAGGTTCTGCAGGGGCTTGCACTGGGCGAGGGGGTGCCCTGAAAGGTGGCCAGCGGGAGTCTGCCTTCCCGACAGGGAGGAGCTCTGGGGCTCTGGAGATTGTGGGCAAGATGGGATGCGGCTGGCTTCTCCATGAGAAGGAGGAACCCAGGATGGCCAGAGGCTTGCTGGTGGGCTTCCACCCCATCCACCTGCCTAGAGCTACTCAGTGTGGAGTTCATTCATGGCTGGGAACAGGCATGGGCTGACACCAAGCCCTCTGGAGTTCTTAGTCGGGGGCAAGATCCAGTGGCTGTGAGCCACGCATCTCCGCTGTGCTGAGCACTGCCCAGAAGCACTGGCCTCCAGGTTGGGACCAGTCACATAGCGCCTGCTGAAAGGAAGTGAGGATGTTGCCCCTCAGATGGCTCCTTGAAGATCCACGGCCCGTGTGATCTGATCTCGAAGTATGGCACCTGAGAATCACCTTCCTGTGGTTTGCCATGCTTTCACATAAACAGGAAGTCAATGTGATTTGTTCTCTTCATAAATTTTGACCTTTAAGACCTGGAGGGACCTAAAAAACCATCCAGTTCCACTTAATCTACCTGTTTAAATGGAAGGGCATGAAGTTAACAGGCATGCTGATGGTCAGTGTGGTTCTGAAATCCCATCCTGCCCTCTGGGCAGGTTTCAGTCAAGTTGCAGGCAGCAGGTACCATCTGGAGTGGTCCATGTCATGGGCACTTCAGTTTAGTCACTGCATGAGTCTTTCAGATCCTCCCTTAGCTGTGTACAATTTGTGGAAGTAGCATGTTACCTGTGGTAATATAAAAAATATTTTATCATGTATGATATAATGTTTAAAGCAAAAAAAAGTAGAATAGAAATCAGAATTTTTGGATCGTTTTAATTACGTAGTGTAATTAGGCATATTTTTTTCTTTTAAAAAATAAAATTAAAATTTTAAGTAGTAAAACTGATTGCCTGGTCAGGTGAACATCATTAAGGAGTTTGTAATATGTAAATAGAATAGAGTTGGGTAGCATACTTTGCTCCTTCATGGAATGGGCATGTGGAAGGCTTGCCTGAAGAGTCCTCAGACTTGATCTAAGTTTAACCTGAAGGGTCAGCGTGCCGTTGCTGCAGTACGCACTGAAGGGAGAGCTATCTGTGCAGTGTTAGGCACTTGCCTTCCTGAGAAGGCTGCAGAAGGCAGACTTCCGCATGCATGGACAGGGCTGTAGTTGTGGGTCTAAAACCTGATTCAGTTGTAGGGAAGGTGTGGCTGTTTTCATTTCAGTCTTATCCCTGGTTAGACACTGCAGCTCCTCAGGCTCTGACGGCCCCCTGGGAGCAAGCCTTGTGGCACCTCACTTCAGTGTGCTGGTGAGCTCGGAGACAGGCGTGAAACGTGGGGTATCTGAGCTCGACTTGGCAGTCCTGTTGGAGGCAGGGTGTCGTGGAAGCCCTCAGATGCACATTCTGGAGACTTTCCGGTTCTGCTCACTGGTTGGTGAATCTGTGAAGGTGCCAGGAAGACAATCACATCTGCATTTCCGAGAGGTAGAGCCCCTGTGGCACGGGGGGCGGTGGCATGACTGGATCGAATCCTCCCTGGAAATCAGGGTTTCCAGAAAGCTATGAATGTGTGTTTGAGCGATATGAAGACGTGAGCAGATACACGGAAGGTAGGTTTAGCAAGAAAGTGGATAAAGGAAGGACTCGGGAAATGGTGTCCACAGACCCTTACGGTAGCACAGAGAGGTCAGGGGAGGGAGAGCTGGGTACCTGTGGCCTTTCTCCTGAGGCCCTAGAGAGCCTGGTTCAGCTCTGAGACCATGGGGCAACAATCAGGCTTCCACACGTGTGTCCGTTCCATGAGCTGTGCTCCCCACGGGAGCTCCTGGGCAGCGGCTCCTGGGGGGTCTGATGCACAGAGACCCTGGAGTTCTTTAAACCCTCAGAAAGGAGAGGCAGCTTAAATTAGTTTAATGTACCCAGCATCTTTTTTCTTAAAGATTCTGATCTAGTGCCAGAATCTGTTTTGTTCTCTTCTGTCTTCACTGACAATTTTTGGCAGAGGACTTGGAGAAGCCAGAATTTTGTGAGCCAGCTGTTCACGTTTGGAGCTGGAGGCCAGATGTGAGGGTCACAGCTGCTCAGCCCTGCCCCCCCTCCCTGTTTCCTGCCATTCAAATTCTACATTAATGGTAGCTGTTTCCATTAGGCTTGTGATGGGGCCCATGAGGCTCCTGCTGCAGAAGTTGGGGGTGGTGAGCTCAGGGTGCAGAGCTGGGGCAGTGCTTCCTCCAGAGAATCCTGGAGACTTGAAGTTAGCTTGCAGATCAAATGGGCTGGCCACTGGTCATCAGGCCAGATCCATTTATTGGTTTCAGAGAACTCCAGGATGTTTTTCTCACTTTGTTGACCTTTTAAGTTATTGCTTTCAGCAAAGCCGCCTTGGTTTCTGTCCTCCTCTGCAAAGCCAGGCATATCTCCTGTCCTGCAGGCTTCATTTCCTGCCTTGAAGCAAGAGACTCTGCCAAGCAGCTATTTCATTATCAGTGCACTAATCTCATTCATCTAGAGGAGGAGGCTGAACTGGAACTGAAATGTCTGCATTATCTCAAGGATGCAGTTAAACGGGGGCATCGCAGCGCACGCTTTCAAGCTGCCCCTGGTGAAGACAGAGCGATTCCCGAGTAGCTATTTATTTTGAAGCTCTGCTTCTCAGAACCCTGAATAAGCCGGAGCTTCAGCCTGGCATTGCCTCCGTCTATTGTTTATTTATGCTTTGCTGGCGTTTCTGCAGGCAATCAGGGGTAAGAAAAATGATCTGTCTCAGAAAAGTACACGTAGAGCTTCTGTTTTAAAGTCAGACCTTTAAGATAGACAGGGAAAAGCATTCTCTGCTAACACAGCCTGTTTTGAAGGATATGGGGGAGCTGAAGAGATGGTGGACAGAGACGTGATTCTCGTGGGTCTGCTTGCATATCTCTTTAATCTTTATAGTCTCAGTGTCCAAGGATGACCTTTAACCAGGAAGTACAATGACAAGTTGCCTGAGACGAAGTTTGAACCCAGGCCTCTGAGTTATCTCTATGATACCTTGATAATAAAAATGTTATTATCAAGTGCTAGGAGACTGTGTCTGAGTCCTGGGATAAAGGAAGTATTTTGTAAGTCTTACATATGCTTCTTGTGAGTGCACCCATCATAGGTGATTATGACTTTAGCCTTATTTTCCTATACACATTCATTTGTCTCTATGCAATTGTCCATCTTCTGTGTCTTCATAATATCTCAATATTTCTGGTACTTTAGATTTAAATATGAATTCAATTAATAGAAATTTCTAGAATTTCTAAATGTCAGATCCCATGGTGTGTGTGTGGGGGGGTGTGTGTATTCATGTGTGTGCGCATGTATGCATGTGTGTGCAAGTATGCGTGTATGTGCGCGTGTATGCGTGTGTGTGCGCGTGTATGGGTGTGTGTGCGTGTATACAGACAGGGTGTAGGCATTACGTCACTCATGCTCTAAATGACCAGGATGTGAATCCACATAGTCCCTGGAGCCCAGACTTGCTAAATCCCATTAATCATATAATCATATTATGAAGTGAGGTTTATCCTACTTACCCTTGATCAAATCAACCTTTCTCGTTATTATGGGATTTGAGTTGAATAGATGGTCATGGGAATGGCAATCCTGACTCACAATGTTGGGATGGACCCTTCCCACCCAGCACTGCCTGACCGTGCCCTGCACAGGGGCCTTGCTTCTCCTTTTCTGCCTGTCAGTGGAGAGGCCAATAATACCCCACCCGTTTTGCTTGAAGGATTAAATGAAAGTGTTGGCATGAAACCCTTATAAAAGCACCAGGTAAAA